TTGGGCGAGAGCATTCCTAGCTCATGGAGTCGGCAGAGCACAGACGTAAGCGGTGCGTGGCGGGTGGGTCACGATCAATGCGCGTCTCCATAAGGTTATTGTGTTGCTCCTTAAGTTAGGCTAGGCCAGGTTAGGTTAGGGGTGGGGTGGAAAGCATTCGAAAGTTAGTTGGCAATGTGTCGCAGTTGTATTCTATTTATTATAGAATAATGGGCAGCTACGGTCTGAACAAATTTCCTGCATGTCGCAGGAACAGGAAGAAGGGATCCAGGGCGTCTTTAGAAAATTTCCTCTTCCATGGATATGAGTCAAAGTGAAGGAGCAAGCTTCCATTGTGGCTGGTGTGCGTACTTGGCCAATGTACGCTTCAACTGCCACCAAGTATTTTCAATATTTTGAGTGTGGGCTTGCGTTTTGGGATCTGTGGAAAAAGTACATAATTAGGAGTGGTAGTGCCTTCATTCCTAACAGTGTGTCATGATATTGCACTTTACCGACGAAGTTGTGGGAGTGATTGACGGTGAGGTGTTCCCAGCCTCTTTCGTCTAAGTTCATGTATCCACGCCAGCAGTCAGTCACGACTGTTGACTGTGGGTGGACGTGATCTTCCACTATTTTCAAGAGGACTTCCGCATTCCTCTTGTTTTCGGGACATGGGGACAAGAAAATGTCTCCCGTTTCTCTGCATATTCCTCCTTAATTTGGGAAAGACATGAATGCCATGAACATCTTTTTCGAATTTTCCGATCATTTACTCACTCGATATGTTGTACTCACCCACGACCCACTGTCCATCTACATGTCTGCCTCTTTGATATTTTCGGCGGCCGAATTTCGACTCATCTACCTCAACCTGTGCACCGAGGAATAATGATAATTTTACCGTTTTTTTTTTTATATGGTATTGCGCGAGTTAGCTTGTACTAATTTATTTTTGCTTTACGCGTTATCCTTTTTTTTGCAAATTTTTGTAAATTTCCTTTTTTATCTTTCTTATATTTGAAGACAATTGTAATATGGAATAATTTGGGATCTGCACTCACAGTCAAACCTGGCCCCCCGATTTGCTCTTAAGTGATTCGCAAATCGTCTCTAAGCAGACTTCTCGGCAGTAAGTGACCCAGTCACTTATGGTCTCGGTGCTGAGGAGTTGCTTATCTCCTAAACTGCACTCTCTTTGAAGGAACGAGTAGTTTCTTGTTTCGTGGGCGAAGAAGTATGTCAGGAAGGTTATCTTTTGGATGGAGATGTGTGCTTCCTCAAAAAAATGAATCTTTACAGAAGGGAATGTATGTTCCTTTTTTCGAGCACTTCTTGTTTCCACAGCGAAATGCGATAGGAAAACGATTTGCGTCTCCTCTCCTGTCTTTCACCAGGTTGAGGGACCTTTTGCACTTTACGCACGATTTGGTTTTTGGGAGTAGTCCGATTTCTTGGGAAAAATTCACTGTGTTTTCGAAGGAGCTGAGCACGGAAAGAGAGAGTTGGAATAAGTTTGTTTGTTGCTCAAGTGATATTGGTGAGACACCCGTAATGGCTGACAAGTCAACTGGTGGGGTTGCAGTCATGCTGACGAATGATCCATGTACAAGGGAATATATATTTTGTGCATTTAGCTGTGTCTGTGCTGAGAGGTTCTTTTATTTTTTGTCTGGGTGTCTATGCAAGTGTCTTACGTGAGAGAATTTGGCTTTTTAAGGGTGCCGTCTGCATGTATAGCGCAGTATAAGCGAAGAAACATGACGGGCTTGGAAGTGGAGGGAGAACGGTTCATAATCCTGGTCAAGGTCTTTCACTTCCTTTTTGAGACGTCTCCGTCTGGCCTCTGGCCTCGCTACAAGTTTTTACCTCCAAATTGGAGACATATCGGCGTGAAGGATCTCACTGCGCTTGTCCTGGAACGGCATCAGTCGTTGTCTGACGATTCTTTTGTGGGTGGTTGCCTTTAACAGGCATTTCCTTGAGAATCGGTTCAGGACCAAGTGCTCCTTGTATAGTGTGCATTGTGGATTCGTGGATAATCTGAGACGCGTTTGCATTTTATGAAATTTTTTTACCTAAGTACGATTAGGAAGTGTCATCCCGTGATCAACGAAATTCCAAGGAGTGATTGTGTCTTGTTTCTTCTATATGCAGACAGTGTCCGTGAAGCCCAATTTCATCGCTTTTTATTAATATGGATAGGCTAGCATCTAATATATCTTAGCGGCGCATGCACGCCGTTTTGCACAATAAGCGTTGGAGACTCATCACGCGTAACAGGTCTTGGCAACAGCAAGGTTTGTGGACCTTGATGATTCCTTTTCCCGTTCGGTATCAAAGGCCAAAGAGAGAGAAAGTCAACCTATTTTGGAGAATGATGGGTCAGTTGGGTTAGTAAAGTGACCCTTTGGGTATGTGTTTATCGCTAGTTCTCTGAGGTTAGAGTGCGCTTGGGTTTAGCGAAAACCCACGAAAGCTTTTGGAACGTTAGTCTGAGTCTTCAGCTTCGAAGCATGGCTGCCCCCAGCGTGGGGAGTAATAGTAAAGGTGGTCCGATAATTCTTGTTTTTTTCACGGTCGACTGAAAGTTATTCTAAGTCCAAAAGGTATGTTTTTATTGGGTATTCTCATCCAAGATATTATCTTAGCTCTCAGGAAATTGGAAAAATCGCTGTTTTTAGAAGTTACTTGGAAGTTACTGGGTGGTCCACTTCGGAAGTCTTTCCCCGAAAACAAAAGACAATTTAGCACGAGCGGTTAATCGGAGGCAAAAGAAAGGGGTCCTGGCCTCACTCCACAGACAGGACAAGCCGTCGAAGGAGACGACTGATGACAAATAATAAAACGGTGCTCAAACAACAAGGACAACAAATATTTAATTAAAGTTAAATTAAGAGAAAAGAATAAATGTCACAGATGTTAATTGAAGTCACAGGCACAGCGGAGATAGCAGGCACGGATTGCGAGAAGGACTCCAACAGCCAGAGAGACAGGGACGAACCACACCGCACGACGCCAGACGGAAGACGAAAAGACGGCGTGGCCGGAAGGGGGAGGTCACACCCCCAGAAAAACAATGGAGGGCTATGCAGGCCCAACCCTGACATGGGCAGAACCCATGCAGGACCGCGAACAAAATAATGTCCCGCGGGAGCCACAAAGCTCTATTAAGGTTATATTAGAATTGTAATAATTTAACTCATACGACACTCCTCCCTCCTTAAAAATAAATTTGTCCTCAAATTTAGAAAAATTACCAAAGAAAATTACAGGTGAGATTGCAAGAAATGTAGTTAACAAAGGTACATAAACTTGAAAAAAAAATTAGGTTCAACAATTTAGATTCAATAATACTCAAAATATCACATAGTTGCATACATGAGATTAACTTGAATACAAACATGACAGACTACATGAAGTAATTCCCGAGAACATATCACAATATAATATATCATATGTTCCATTCAATAATATGGCACAAAAACTGGAATCACTTTGGCCATAGCCAAGGAGAGAAGAAACCAAAAAATAATAATTCACCTAATACGTAAGGTATAGTGACATGTTTTTCACGGGTTACTTCGTGTGTCACCTTGGACGGTTTTGTTTACTTCCGTCAAGGAATGTTTTCCTTTTTTACCTAACGGTTTGTTTCGTTACTTTTTTAAAAAACAATTGGACCAGGATGGCACAAACAAATTGCAATGCCGAAAGTTCTGCACAGCCTCTGTCAAAATATGACGACAGGGCGCTATCCATCCAGAAAGCAATGTTGGCCAATGAAGTCAAGAGGGAGGGGAAAAAAAAAATTTACTATCAGGAATTTCCTATTTCTGAGAACAATCTACGATCCAAGTAGGCAAAGGAACAGGGGTATATGTATGAAGTTGTTAATCGCCAAAATCCAGCAGAACCAGAGATATGATATTAATCAAGAGATATGTGGGCAGAAAATGCAAAAAAAATTTACTAGGCACGTCCTACTTCTGGGATGGAAGAGGTATTGAACACAAACATCCACCCATAGGTAAGGAATGCCCTTGAAAATAAAGTGTCAATAATAGAGCAATATGTCATATGGAAAAATATAATGTGGCTCGAAATGCCAAATTTGCAGCAAAAAGACCCTAGTCCTCAGAAAAAAACCATAAAAAAAAGAGATTGACTCATAAGGCAGAATTTCCCGATTTGCGACCGAAAGTCGAAGACTCTCCACGGAAGTCTTCCTTCTCGAAATCTCGTATTTATTAAACATTAAACATAGATTTAAGTTTTTAAAAATATGTATTGTTGGTAATGTCAGATTTAAGGCTTTCTTGTTTCAAATTTCCTAGAGCACCCTATTATTTGCCGCCTGTTTAATTTCATTTAAAAAAAGAATTGAGCTTTCATTTCATACTAATGATGTCATCCCTCGTCAGTTAGTAAAATAAAAGTTACTGAGTCACTTATAAAATACCCAGTAGATAAACTTTGACAGAGCCAAGCTGCAGGTGGGACACAGGTGGGACTTTCCATTAATCCAATGAAGATAGAAACCCGGTTTCACGTTCTTTTCCTTCCACCGATGCAGCGATAAGAACTATTTGAAACCAAGGGATTCTAATTGAATCTTTGGTACAGGAAGTCAATGAACAAGACGGAATTTAAAGTTACCTCTCGACTGACAGCATAACCTGAAATTATTTCCGTTTGGCTGATATTCGAGGACACCAGGAAAACTGTTGGAGCTATCACCAAGGTTCTGTCGAATTTGGGGATTCCATTAGACGTTTGAGGGGGAGAGATCTAGGCGTCCGCATTCTAAACGGTCGTGGAACGTAATGATACCACTATCCATCAGCTGAAATGGTGGGCTTATCAATAATTAGATAATATGAATCAATAATGTGAATCAATCATGCCAAAGTGTTCCATTATAAAGACACCTGCCATTAGAGGAAATCTCATCTGATCTGGCTCAAACTTTTGAAGTGTGCATAAAAAATCCGAAATTCATTGCTGATGAAAGGTATGGTGCACGTGCGCATGCACTTGTTGGTATATTGGTAGAAAGTTGATAAACATTGTGTACGTTTTCCTAGGTGCAATTTGCCGTCGTTAACGAGGCGAAGAGTGGCAATTGCCAGATTGAAGCATCCGGCCAACATGGGCTCCACCTCCCACGAAGTTCGTCTCTTCGTTCTCGTCCTCTGTCCCAGCAAAGAGGTGAGCCTCCATCTTCATCTCTTGTGCAAGCAACCTGATTCTACCAGGAGGGAAAGAGAACAAGCGAAACCTACAGATATAGACGTACAGTATATCAGGAGAGGAGAAAACGATTTCGGTAAATGTGCGGAGAGGGAGGGAAATCTGCGAATGGTTTGAAAGCACTCGCAGAGTACTCGCGATACTAAACCACTGGTTTAGTACATGGAACACTGCTTCCACCAGTGCCGACACTTATCACTCTTCCTCAATCACAGTGCGACCGTGGCGGGTCTTCGACGGCGACAGGTGTCGGTACTCGCGGAGGCGGCATTCCAGGTACTAATCCGATGCGAATGTGATTTGCATTTGTTTCCCCACTTGCATCTCCAGCACTTGCATATTTGATTTAGGATCCCATTCCAGATGCCTTGCCATGCTCTTGCATCCACGTGTGCATAACGCCGATTCTTGTGAATCCATCGTCCCGTTCTGGCCTTTAGGAGAAACCGCTACACAAAGTTTCTCATATGTCCATGTTCATCTCGCAGTGCCGCGACAGTTCTTCCCCTCTAGATCCCGCGTTTTAGGTGGTGTCCATCCAATTTCCGTTAGTTTTTCAAAATATCGTCACGGATATGTTCACTGCTATGGTGAATTGAGTTCTCGGGAAAAGGACTCGTGTGCAGGAGGCACAATCCGAAATGAGCTGCAAAATCTCCTCAGAGCTCATCTGAGATCGCTTTGAATCCAATTTTCAAAGACACGGTGACCTTGGCTTCTTATTTAATCTTTGGGCTTAAACTACGATTTTTTTCTTCCAAATTGCCAGAACGCCGACAGAAACTGTTTTTGCACATACCCCCCTTTTCCATATCCGCACTATCAGAACCTTCCAGCCATCCTTTCAGCTGTCATTTTTCATGATAAAAAAATGTTGCCTCTGAATTAATCTCTAGGCTTCAGAAAACCCTTCCTCAAAGAAAGACGAGGAAAACAGGAGCATTCAGAAGAGCTTTCACGACAGTCTCGGTCTTCTCCGCATTAGCATCATCACGATTCCGTTTTCTTTCCCTACAGGCATCCTTCTATAAGGTCGGATGACACTCCCTTCTTCCCCTTTCCTCCTTGCCATAACGAGATAGCTGGACATCTGCCCGCCATCTAGCAAGAGTATGGGGGAGATTGCTTCATTCTTGCTGCAAAAACTCAACTGAACCACTTCAAGATCACTCTATCCTATAGCAAGTGTCCTAAAGTTGCGCATGAGCACGGATACGGAAAAAGGGCGTATCGGCGCTCTCGCTCCTTCCCCAGAGAACGTCTCAATTATGTGATAGCCTTTCTTATTTTCCGGATTCACTGCTTCAACTATTACTTGACGGCAACGACAGGTACTTGAATATAGTAGAGAAGAACGTAGGAGTCGTCTTTTGACTAATGTCTTGGAGCTTTTATATAAATCTCTATTTGCAATCAGAGCAGGTAGATACATAGAGCAGGTGCTCTAATTCACCTGGGTAGCGTATCCCCAAAAGCCAAGAAGCAGTAGAGCCATGCGACTGATTTTCAATCAGACAAATTCCTGAAGCATATGGTCACTGGCAACGTGATTAGCCATCTCACTATTGCATTCTCTGTAATTCAAGCTTTGTCTGTCTTAGTATGTGCCCCAATCACGGGTTGGAAATCTGCTTAACTCCTTGTCTCTGGAGCAAAACAGGGTTTGGACAGAGTAAAAATGTCCGCAAGAAAGTTTAATGGTAGGTGTTTTTTGCAAATGAGTTTTGACATACTTGGTTATCGAAATATACATGGTATTATACATCTTAGTAAAGAGAAATGGATGTAGATTCATGTTCTACTGAAAAATATTAAGGTTTTTAGAAAGATAAAGTAATTTTACAGTGTGAAAGGATGGTAGGAAGAGAGACGAGACGAAGAAATATTGACACAAACATGAGTTACCAAGCCCTGACACTGCCCCCCATGCCCCCATATCCACTGCAAAAGCTCCAAACTGACAGGTAGATGAATATTGTCGAAATGCCTATCCATAATTGTCCTTGAAATCATCAGTAAAGGTCATTTTATTAAAATAAAAGTACATTATGTCAAAGGGACGTAATAAACGAAGAAAATTAGGAACTCAGGTAAAGCGACGAGGCCTACCAGAAGTATTGGGCGTGGTCATCCTCGCTGCTTCAAAATAGGGGTTCGTAAATCGCACGTCTCTCTTCTATCGATGTGGCGCTCAGATTGAAGATATTTCGTTTGCAGAAGCAGTTCTAGTTTTTATATTGACTGTATAAGACGTTTAAAAGGTGGGATTGCTCGTGAAACGGAAGAAAACTTACAAGCCGATATATCGTGAGCTCGTCCAAATGGGAAATCGAGCGCGTCGATATATCGGCTGCTCGGAGACTAAGAGTTAAGTTTCGAAAGGATAAGATCTCTCTCAGGAACGTGAAAAAGATCCGCGATGTCGGGTTGCAATGGCTGCTCTCACAATAGAATTAATTAAGTCATTCAATACGATAAAGGCCAGGGGTTACTTCGCATACGATGAGGTGCAAGGCAGCTCTCACTCTCTCTCTCTCTGAGAGAATGAAGTTTTCTTCCTTTTCTCTTTCTCAGAAGGGCATTTCTTAAGCAGAAGATATTCTTCCTCTGCTTTACCTTGAAAGACGATTAATGGATGATGGCTGTTTCCTTAAGTTCGGACGAAGACAAGGAATTTGCCCCTGATATTCCTCGCGAGAGTCTGCGTATCATGCGAGGGAGATCTAAAATGCAAATGCGAGAGGAATATCGATTAAGTTTATCATTAATTACGATTGCATGCGATTGGTCGCAGAAAGGGACGAAGAACGCACTGGAGACCGGGAGGACCTTTTCTACGCTCTTGGCAGACCTGGAATTCCGACAGAAACTTCTCGAAGCTCATTCAGAAGATGAATTCAAGCGGCTGTTGTCGAAACAGGCGCAGATCCTGGCCGACGAACAAAACAGCGTCGAGAAACGACTCCTGGAAAACCATACCGGTTCCACAGATTTCGATTACGTACGTGCTCTGATAATTCAGATATACTTGCCATTCCTCTCAAGCTGGAGAAAAAGGGCGAGGTAATTTGTATTCATTAAGGGAAGAGTGTCTCGGAAAGTCTGTCGTCAGGTTCAAGAGAACTCGTTTGTCTCTCTGCTCTCGACATCAGTCGCCATTACTCGGATAAATGAGTTGGAAGGACCTTCCTCTCTCTTCTTACAAGGACACTGGGACCATCCCTGCATATCATCCGTTTTAGTATTATTGCGGGGATTTGAATAGAGGGGGAAATACAGTATGACTGCCTGCAGCCGAAGGAGAGATGGTGCCAGTTCGGGAAGGACATAATGGATGACCTGTGTCGACGGCTGCCCCATTACATCAGCGATTACACGGATGGCTTGTCCGGCTCGAAGACGATCGTCTTTCACTAGAGATGCTGGGAAAAGGAGATAAAGCGGACGTAGGAGGGACGGTAGCGAAAGCCTCAGGAGTTGCTGGTGTTGTGAGTGCCGAATTAGCCACGCAGGAAAGGTGTCGCAGAGTAATACTCGCTTCCAGTTGCCAGTCGAGTGAGAATCAATTTCACGCTGTTGGGAGATCGATTCTTGCCGACTTCCAGGATTTCTTTGATGCCTCAATTCCGAATGAACTTCTGGGACCCACTGTCCCTGTAATAAGCTATTCATCCGAATGCAGGACCTCTTCCGAAACAGAATTTACATTCCGTGTTATATGAAAGGTCACACTGTGAGAGCCCTCAGTCTTAAGTTACCTTCTGCTGCTTCCGCGTTGCAAATGGATTATCTCAAACGAGTTTTGAGGTAATCCTCTGAGACTCATTCCGTGATTTCCTATAATTCTTGCACTTTGTGCACTGGGTACACTCTCATGGATCTGTTTAGGAAGCGTATATAAGACATTTGCAAAACATGAAAAATACTTTTTTTTTTTTAATGAGTATGTCTGTTTTCATTGTATCAACGGTGTTCTGGTTCTTGGAATATAAACCAGAACGGCCTAAGACCGAAAGAGGAACATTTGAAAATCAGCCTAAAGAGAAGAGGGCTAAAGACAAAGGGAGGCAGGAGTTCCCGAGTTTTCGGCTCAATGAACCTTTATCAAGGACATAAAGGCTTCATAAAGGCCCATTGAGCCGAAAGCTCGGAAATTCCTGCCTTCTTTTTCTTTTATCCTCTTCTCAGAGAGGTTCTTTTCGTTGATGGGATGATGGAGATTTGAAGAAATCTTCTCACATCCCTCAATTTGTAGCGATTTCAATTTCTTTTCCCTGTCGTAGATCTCTTCAAATCGCTCGAACTATTTTTAGATAAATTGTTTAGCACGTTTTAATCGGAATTTCTGGAGGAAACGTTGAATGTTGTGTTTCTCTTCTCAGACGTGAAGCGCATGATAATAGGGCAAACGATCGGAGGGCTGATATACGTGGTTCTAAGTGGGCAACCTCTCATGATCCTCCTCACGACGGCGCCCCTTGCCATCTACATAAAGAGTGAGTTGTGAACGTGTGAACAGGATGAAACGAAAAACCAGACGCGAGCTCAGAACAAGCAAAGAAGAAACGAAGGAGAACTAAAAGAGAGTATAAACACAAGGGGAAACTGTGCGACTTTGCTCTTTGTTTAATAAGTCCCTTCTGTTAGCTAGCACCAAACTGGTTCGGAAGGAAAAACAGGGGAAAGAAGAGCTACCACCATCGGCTTATTAATTGAGAAGAGAGAGAAGTCAGGCGACGAAGTTGTCTTCATTAAGCTGCACGCAGGCGAGAGAGCCTTAATTGCATTCCCCTTATCTCTAATCCCCATGCCAGAACAGGATCCTGATGAGATTTGATAAGCCTCCTAGAACTCTTGCCGGCATATTTTCTTAATGCACACCTACATTTACGCTCCTGTAACCAACAAAAAAAATTTGTTTACTGCCGGACGGGAAAGAGGGATGGCGGGGAAAGCCATATCTAGATTATGTCGCCTCCCGTGAGGGTCATAAATCGCATAATGCACCTTGCTGCTACACCTAAGCATGGTCTCTTTGTGTTGCCATTTTCTTCCCCTAACCTCCGAGTTGCTTGCTTGTAGTACTTTTTTTAGTTCCTAGTCATGGATGTGTCTCATTTTACTATCGAATTTCATTGAGCGTTCTAGCTGCCTTGTAAATACGAATTGTGTAGGCTCTCGCATCCCTGCAGAAATTCCCATCTTCGCCTCTCTTGGCATCCTATTAAGTTTCCTTCTCGAGTTCATCGCTAGTGGTTTCTTTCCATGGATTTACTTCCCATATATCAGATGAAAGCCGAACTCTTTCGACGCGAAGCTAAGCGTCTTTCTGTTCTATCCCCAGTCATATACAACATCTGCGAGGACTTCCAACTCGATTTTGGTTTCTTTCCATGGATTTACTTCCCATATATCAGATGAAAGCCGAACTCTTTCGACGCGAAGCTAAGCGTCTTTCTGTTCTATCCCCAGTCATATACAACATCTGCGAGGACTTCCAACTCGATTTCTTTGCAATGTACTGCTGTGTGGGTCTGTGGAACGCATTTTTCCTCATATGCTACTCCCTTTTCGGAGTGAGTCGTCTGATGAGGTGGAGCACGAGATCCACCGAGGAGATCTTCGCACTCTTCATCTCCGTCGCCTTCTGTGTCGACGCCACACAAGACGTCATCAAAGGTATCCGCCGACGCCTTCCCGCTCTACCCTTCACTCTTCTACCGAGGAGATTTCTCTGCTTTCAACNAGCACGAGATCCACCGAGGAGATCTTCGCACTCTTCATCTCCGTCGCCTTCTGTGTCGACGCCACACAAGACGTCATCAAAGGTATCCGCCGACGCCTTCCCGCTCTACCCTTCACTCTTCTACCGAGGAGATTTCTCTGCTTTCAACTTGGCATTCCTAATTTGAAGGCATTAGTCGAGCAATAACTAGTGTATTACTCCAGAAAGCTAGTCGTAGCTATTGGTACCAAGGCTGCACTCTATTTATTTAAAAATATTGAACTGACTAGAAGCTGCGGCTATGGATGCGCATACCAACTGGGGCAGTTAGTATGCGCATCCATAGCCGCACTCCCTAGTCTACCCCGGAGCGATTTGCGCGGATATAGCGGCGAAATAATCAAGTAATTGTCGTTAATACGACAGCAAATTTGTTAAAAGTCACATACTACTTGCTATTATCAATATTTCTCACACATGCGCACAAGCTGGGATCCTTGAAAAAATGGAGTCGCCACAGGGTGAACCAGCTCAGAAAATAGTCACTTGGAGACTTAATGCTTTTACTTACATGGAGAAGAGAGGAGGAAATTTCGTTCCTTATAAAATCAGTAGAGTTATACCTAGAAAGTATTTTTTTCCCATTTCCTTACTAAGAATGGAAGAAGGACCAGGACACCCTCCTTGTCAGGGAAAGCTTAATCGTATTGAGGTCAGTCTAGTCACAATATCACTCCAAGATTGCTTCATCAGCCAGGCCGACGTATGGACAGAACTTGGAACGTGTTTAAAATCTCTATTGTCTATATTCATAGAAGAACACGTAGTAGTTGCGTGGAAAATATAACGTTTAGGACTTGGGTAGACTTAGCTATGTAATAAGATTTTGGAGTGATGTATAAATTCGTATCAAAGATGGGTTACGTCATTGGAGTAAAAAAAAAAAAAAACTAAAACAGTCAGCTCAACCTAACAATATCAGAACGGGTCACTGGCCGCAGGAGGGCCATGCATATTATTAGTTATATGATTAACAGATTTTAACTTGAACTTGAACTAGTTACCGAGTTTAAAGGGAAACTAGGATGACTGGTATAACACCAGCACGATGTAGTACAACCAAGTATTGTTATTTTAACTCGTGGCTAACTATTGCACGGCTACATACTAGTCATTACCACGGTTGAATTTAACGAACATTTGCATTGTTGCTGAAAGTGCGCGGAGATTTCTGCGTTGTCGATTGAGGTGGAAGAAGATCGACATTCTTTGCGATTTTCCTTTTTAGCCGTAGGAAGCAGTGTCTCGTGTTGGAATGTCTATAGCAATTGTGAATTTGCAGATTTTGCCAACAACTACTATTCCCCGGGGTGTATGGCGACCGGACTGGAGGTATTGAGGAACGAGAGTGAGCCGTTGATCGTTCCCTATTCGCCGAGGAACTTCTCACCAGATGCCTTCGATTATTCGAGTGTCAACTCCTCTCCCGCACACCCAGAGCAGTCCTTCGACGGGTGTCGACGAGAGAGCTCCATTCTTTTCCTCTTCCTTATGCTTGGGACCCTCTGGTTAGGTGTCTCCCTTTACAACTTTAATAAAACGTAAGTCTCGGAGCCTCCTCACTTTCCGAGAGTTCACCCTCTCCGTTCTGTTCTGGAGTCACATTGCTTGGGAATCGATCCATTTACTCATTACTGACTCTTTCGATGGAACAGGCCGTACCTTCAAGCGAGCAAACGAGAGGCGCTCGCTGATTATGCCTTACCCGTTGCTGTGTTGGTGCTCAGCTTTGTTGGATCTTTCTTGTTCAAGGATGTCCATTGTGAGTTCGGATCGTTTTCTTTCCTTTGTTACTGCTCGTGCACGAGCGTTGATCGTCATCTATGTTGCAAAATGTATTTTCCCATGCAGTGGAACATTTCAAATACGACAACACGAGAGTGTTCAACCTGGCGGCGTTGGACAAGCTGTCGGTGGCGGCCATCTTCGCATGCATGGGGCTCGGCTTCTCTCTTTCCTTACTCTTCTTCATGGATCAGAACATCACATCCGCCATGGTCAATAACCCCTGCAATAAGTGCGTTTATTCCCTCTTCCCTTGCCTCATTTGTCCCGTAGCACTGCGATGATGCAGCCGTTTTGGTCGTTTTGCAGATTGAAGAAGGGACCAGCGTACCACTTGGACTTGTTCGTCGTGGCCGTGTTGAATGCATTCTTGTCCCTATTTGGGCTTCCCTGGATGCATGCCACCATCCCCCATTCTCCTCTTCATGTCAGGAGCCTGGCCGACGTCGAGGAACGCGTCGACCAGGGACACGTCTACGAAATGTATTCTGTCGCTTCCTTGTCTCCGAGTAATTTCTCTCTCCAGTGACTCAAGTGACTCGAAAATTACTCTGGTCTCGGCGTGTGTGTGTGTTGAGCAGCATCGTGACGGTGCGGGAGACGCGGCTGACGGGGATGTTCTCTCACATCCTCATCGGGCTTTCCATTCTCATGCTTCCTCTACCGTTGGCCTACATCCCGACGGCCGTCCTCGACGGGCTCTTCCTTTACATGGCCGTCACTGCTCTCAACGGGAATCAGATGTTCGAGAGGATTACACTTCTCTTCATGGAACAGGTCCGAATGCAGCTTTATGCTATATTATGCCGGCTGCGAAGAAAAAAAAAGGATACCAAATATACAAGTAGTAGATTACATTTAAAAGTAAGCATGAAATAAATCGCATGAAACTGAATGTCCTGAATAAAGACGCTATTACTAACGAGCAACTTAGAAAAGTCAGGCATTTTGCCGTGTCCAGATTACACTCTTTTGAGGGATATAAAGTTCGACTAAAGAACTATGTTAGTGTGTAGTCTAGATGGAGACGCAGCCATGATCATTAAAGTAGATTGATATTTTTCAAACTTATTTTTTGAGACCCTTTGGGAGACGGACCTACATAAACGTATCTCTGAACGTCTCATACTGACCTGAGGAAAGAAAAAGTTCTTGTTAAGTTTTCGTACTAGCCTGAGAACTGCAGGGTGAGAAGAACAGGGACTTGATACCCGTGCATACGAGATCTTCAATCATTCCCCGCTAGAACAGGGAGGTGAGAGCAGAAGAGATGGGACTCGGGGTCACTGTATCAACGTGTTCACGTGTAACATCGGTGGTTGTTACCGTTGCCTGCCGTCTAGTGTCCAGCTACAGTTTTTATAGGCGCCGGTGTCTTCTTGCTTCCCTCACCGGGAGGGTTTTGGATCACCGATCACGAACATTTGTATTTAAAAAAAAACCTTTGGTCTGAGATAATCGTGGCCTGCGGCATCTTTTTCCATATCAGCGAAATTAAACACGATTCGAGCAGAAAGATTGAGGAGGAAGAAAGCTCTGATTCATGTCAAAAGACTGCGAATCGCAAAAGGTAGAGAAAAAAACTGTTTCCTCATCTTGCCAATTCTTCGTGACTTGGTAAAGTACTCCGTTACTTTCTGCGAAAAGAGAGAAGCTCATGGCAAGTAGGTTCTTTCCTCCATTTTTCTTCCGAGAGTAACAAGTCATGCACCTCTGTCCAAATGGATAGATAGCCTGACCCAATATGCTCGGTGCTAATCAGTGGAAAGGGCTGCAGTGCGCTCTCCCTCTATGGATGTGGTCCTCTTATATGGCTTCATTCTGCTCGAGATGAGACAGACCCAGCTCCAAAGGGGCTCTGCTCTTAGATACCGATTCCGATGCCACAAGCCAGCTCGTAGCACATAATACCTTGTAAGAAAACCCCTGAGAGAAACAGACCGACACACGACCCAAATGTCAATATACCTGTTTCCCCTTTCCCTCACCCTTCCCCTTCCCCAAGGGAAGGACGGTGGCTTGCTTGTTGGAGGGGCAGACAGAAATAACAGAACAAGTAAATTAGAAAAATACTATCAATGAGAAAATGTTGAATTAATATGCAGCAGCCCTGAAAGGTAACGGTGCTCGCCAACATGGCTGCCTCTCGAAATCCTTCCCTCCTTTCCATCCTGATTTTTTTTCAGATCTGCTTTGAAATTATCGCATCAGTATCAATACGATGAGCTTGAAGGGTCATAACAGACTCCCCTCTCTTGGAATAATTTCGAGATTTTCCTCCTTTTTTTGCATGTGTGCAGGCGGCGTATCCTCCGAATCATTACATCCGAAGAGTTCCACAGAGGAAGATTCATCAGTTCACGGCGTGTCAGGTGCTTCAACTATTGTTCATGTGCGCCGTTGGCTTCTCACCATGGCCATACATCAAAATGGTCTTCCCCATCCTCCTCCTCGTTCTCATGCCCTTCAGGTACTCCATGCAGTCCATCGAATTTTATGAGTCGTTTACCTCCTGTATCATATCCAATGAGAGCCTCACGTATCTCTCCTTTCAGGCATAAGGTGATCCCGAAAATGATCGAGAAGAAATTCCTAGATGCACTGGATGGAGAGCACCAGTAATGAATGTGAATGATGCTGGACCTCTCCCGACGACTGCTAAAGCAACGATGACGATTACAGGAACAAAACCTACAAAATTTACAGGGACAAAAAAAAAGGAACAAGTCTAACATCCCCGGTGTGCAAATGCGATCTTTCTCTTGCCCGCGCCATTCTTACACTGTGATGGGAAAAAACACTGCTCTTCTCTGTTGGATTTCTGTCTGTGACATATTGTTCTCTTGTTGCCCAAGAAGATAAGAAGAATATCAGCTATTTTTCTCAGTTCAAGAGACGGCGAGGAGACTGTTTTTTCCTTTTTATAGTTTTTCCTCCTTCTGCAACTCTGGTTGCTTTGTTGGTAGTGTTCTCTTTTCCTTCAAGTATTCGGAGAGAGGCAAGTATTCTGTGAATACTTCTGTTGCTGCTTTTACTGATATAAGGATGGCCCCGCGATACGATACTGTTGTTTGCTCATACGAACTCGCATGAATGCTGATGGAAGTGTGATTCTTCATCGAGTGTGACTCACTTGTTTCGACTTCCTTTAGAGAGGTGCTTCGACTATTTTTGTGAGGATTCACTGATTCCAGTGGCTTCCATGGACGAAACGCCAGGGAAAGCACGACGCCAAAATGAGAAGCAATATAACTCGAAAAAATTTAAGGCAGGACATTTCATGAACTAAGGTGCTGTCCGCTGATGAGCCAAGCTTCTTTTTCTTCATCTTCTGTCCTCCGAACTTCAAGAATTTTTTCTACCAGAGTCCTGCTTTGCGTGACATGTGAAGAAAGTATACCCTAAATCAAACAGAAGCAGTTTAACAGTGTCATGGCTTCAGTTTGAGCCAATGGTGAGAGTTATGAATTGTTATTCTCTTCCTCATCTTACATTCTATGCCAATTTCATATTTTCGCAAGGGCTTATATTCCTTTGCAGCGGCAGGATAGAGGGACAATCCTAATCTTGAAGGGAAATAGCAACTGACACCTTCCTTTTCTCCCTCGCATAGTCTCATCCTAGGTCTAGTCTGAGAACAAGGGATTATCCTTTCTTAGCTATCGACATTGCTACCATAGAAGGATTTTGTAATAAAATGGAAATGTTGAGTCTCCCCGACCGAGTTTTATTTCCATTGAATCTTTTTTGTGTGAGTGGCGAATGCTTTCATTTCTAGGGGATCCTTTCATGACTGCGCCCAGGAAGTGTAAAGAGCTTTTTAAGATGTGCGGGAAACTGGCACGATCCCATTCAAATGGCATCTCCTCTCGTACTCAGTCCCATGACTGAATGCCTCGCAGCTTCTTCTGAATTAATTTTTTTATTATAAGCTTCTGCATAAGGCCCTCTTGCCATTGAAGATTTCCGTTCCGAGAGTAGCTACGAGCGACGTTTTAAGTTCACGAAAAAAAAGTATCTCACTTAAACTGAAAACAAGGGGTGATTTGGTTCAAGTTAAAACTGTTCGAAATTTCTGTCAGTGATGCCTTTAGAAATCGACTCGATAGTAACCTCAAGGACCCCCCTGTCATTCAGGAAAGTGAAATACAGCTTATTGGGTTCCCAAAGGAATCATCAGTATTGCAATGGCGAAAGACAAAAGGATAATCTCGAGGCCTGCACGTTCCGATCATCAATTCCGTGTACGTTGCTGACCTTGAATTGCCTTGGATCGGCTTTATATAAGAATCTTTTCCATGAGAAAGCAAATGTAGGGAAGAAACGAGTCAGAGGATGATGTGAGGGCACCGTGGCAGCATTGAACGTGCTGCCTTCCAGCTGGAACTTTCCATGCCCGGGGGGGGAAGCGCATGCGTCACACCCTAAGAAGTAAGTGAAAGCTTCAGGAGAGGAACGAGACTGGCACCATGTGCTCTGTCTACCTGAGTCCGTGTCATGTTCACCTATAGGGAATGGAGCTCATGGGAGAGGAGCAGGACCATGCGATACGAAAGGGGAAAACGACCGCTCCTAGTTGTGCAAAATGGTGCAGCCGTGTTATCATCCAATCCATGGAAGCATACTTTTATCGGTGAGTTTTTTCCCCCTTCACTGAGCCACAAAATTCCATCTATTTCACACCCGACTTTTTTTTTCATCCATGCCCTTAGGCTTATTTGGGGGGCTATTGAGCAGGCCCTGTTGTGGCATTCCACATCGTTTTCCTCTGCATTCTTTTCGGGAAGAGAAGAACCAGGCGGAAGATGCACACACTCTTCGTTACATAACATCCTTCCACCGAACGGATGTTATGTAACGCAGGAAAGAAGGAAATGCCAGAATGACTCAGTGTTCTATGAGGTTACTTCGCTAGGGTTTCTTATTCGGAAATAGAATCTAAGCCCAACATCACGGAATAATGATACTCAATACGTGGCGGAGTTGATAGAGTTTTTAATTTTCTTTTTTTTTTCTGCAGATCTAAACAATTCAACGTTTCCGCATTTGCCTTTTGAATCGTTTCCTTAAATGACGAGTGGGGTTACCGAGTGCCGCCAGCACGTGTCGGCACCCACCGTGAGACGTATTTTTTTTTCATAATTTGAACCTGTTCGTCTTGAATTAGAGCTATTAATTTTTTCGAGGATTTGCGAAGGGCAATATTTTCTTCAAAAAAGCCTCTTACTAGGGGTGAATTGCATTATTTTTTAAATTGGGTTTCGATTTTTTTTGCTGCTAAAATGCTTGATCATCTAATGCAATGCCCTGTATCTTAGAAGGCCTTGTCTTACCATGCACTTTTATGCATTAACTAATGAATAACAATTTTGCTTGACGAAGACGTTAACTTAAAAAAATGATCTAAACTGAAACTAGAATAAAATTTTGCCTTTCAAACCATTCAGGCATGGGTACGTGGTGTCGAAATGGCCTTTTCTGGTCATTTTCCTCTGCTTGGTGATGACGTTCGTGGGTGGAATCGGTCTGAGGAATTGGAAAACGGAGACGAGACCGGAAAAACTCTGGATTCCAGACACTTCTCAATTCATCCGGAATACGGACTGGATCGGCAAGAATTTCCCTCCGCAGTTCCGATTCCAAAAGGGGATCTTCCTGGGATCCTCTAACGTCCTCACCTCCGATGCCCTGCTTCAGGTTCCATATTTACGGCTATATGCATGCGTAAAAAATTAATGGGGATATTTCGGTTTGGAATATTTCGGTTTGGCGAAGTGTAATAGACGTGAGTCGCGCGCCCTAACGCATCTGGTTTGTGGGGCCATCGGAGAGTAGCCAGTGCACCTATAGAGTTGAGAATGTAACTGGAGGCGACACTCCGAGAGGTAGATGAGCGGGGGGGGGGGGTGGATCGGCTCATTCGGGGATTCGACCCAAAAGGAGTCCCTCAACGTAATACGCTTGTCTCGTTGAGTCCGCTGCTTGGCCATGGAGGAGTTATTGATGTGGAGGAGCGACAGCGACATATATATTGCGACCCTGTCAGTGAATGGGAAACATTGTACATTGCAAGTAAATCTAAAATGAAACATTCATTGCTAGAAGTTTACCAGGCATTTTTAGATCACCCTTTATATTGCGACCTTCTTGATGAATGGCATTCGAGTGGAATTGTCGCCTTATATTAGATTCTCTGCTACCAACCCTTTCCCTTAGTCGTGTCGAGGATTTATTTCCACCATTCGAAGCCGTGGTATCTCATCATTTTTTACGAGTGTATGTATGTAAATAATAAATTATTCATAGATTTTCCGCCTGTTCGTCCTTGATGTTTATGCTTTCTTTGTTTCAGCCAGTAAACAAGTCACGAGTTGTTACACTTTTTCCATTCAGATGCTCAAGATTCATCGCATCGTGACAAACATCAGCGTAGGAGGACTCGGCTACGAGGACCTATGCGCAAAGTAAGGAATTTCTTTGTATCTTGCGAGCATCTAGCCCGATCTTCGGGCGAATTCCCATCGTACTCTTCCCATCCTATACAATATTAGTGTCGGTAACACGTTCATCGTTAAGCTGTCGTTGCCAGCACGAACAGCAAAATGAGCAATCTGATATGAAGAATGATTTCATGACATGATGTTCCATCACGTCTTCATGTTGTTTTCATGTCACACTTTTAAATGGAATATTTAAAATATTAATTACAATCGTGCCCGATAATGAGAATGCACGATGGCCCTTTCCAGCACATGTTTCCATCCCGATGATTGACGTTATTGCATGAAGTTCGATACAGCGATCCTCCCGTTCGCAAAGAAGTCTACCGTCGATAAATTTCGTTTCGGCCTGGTACTTGCAGAAATCTGGAAGCACAAATTGCATCGAAGAACAAATTTACTGAACACTAAGAGACCTAGAGCAAGGCTATATTTATTTCAGCAAGTTTAGTACCTTGAATTTCATGCACTGTGAAACAATGCATTTCGGGATCTCAAGCGTTTATCTTATAACATGAAGTGGTACTAAGTAGTATCAAAAAGCACAAAGCAACAGAGGGGGGGAAAAAAACCAGGGTCGACTTCAACAAATATGGTCTTTCTGTAGTTGTGTATCATTTGGAGGTCTCGAGTACTGATCTATTACTGAGAGTAACGAAAGTACTTCGAATCCAAGCCTAGCAGGTGGATCAATTACAGAAACTAAATTTGGGGTAATTTCGATGAATAATGATGAAACGTACAGTTTTTTCGTCTCGCTCGGAGGGTCTGGTACAAATTTCGATCCGAGAGCATTGTGTATTCATCCAAAACTCACTGATAGACTTGGGGCAAAGCCTAATAGAACGATTTCGACGGATGAGATACTCCTGGATCAACCTAGCTTTGGGGTTTGCCTCATGGGAGTCCTATGTCCTCGTATAATAGGCTTACTGGAAATACGAAAAGCACAGCGCGTACGAGATTGGCTTCCCATGAAGTTGGGATTGACCGAGTAGAAGTGAATGAAGTGATCATCTCAGTGTGTCACTGCTTCTGTGTGTGCAGACGTGAAGGAAGGAATCATTCCCAATACGGCGCGTTTGAAAGCGAAGCGGAAATGTTCCTGCGGGTCATGCTTCTCATGCTCGATCATGATCGGCTGCTTCCACGAGTTTCCGTCTTCATTCGAGGCTCGGAGATACATAATTCATTGCGTGCACGTGCATGGAAATGCTGAACAGAAGCGCTGCCTCCTGGGGGGTAGGGATCAGATTGACGGACCTCGTTGGCCTCTCGATTGCCCCTTTGGGATCAGGTGGCCACTCGATTGCCACTCTGCAATGAATCCAACTACGGGGGTACTTTTCATTCAACCTTAGTGGTGATGAGCCGGTGCTTGTCGTCTTGTCGTCAGAACAACTCGTCCACGTGATCCTGGATGATCCAAAATGGTTTGGAGCAACTTACTAGCCTGTCTACATATATATGTAATTAACTAATGCGCACCTGATTTATGTGTTCACAGGCGATTTTTAAGTAGTCTCGTTTCCTTGCTTCAGGCCGTCATCCCGCACGATCCTCTTTTTCACTTCGGCGTAAAGTTTTTAGTTTTCTTGGGTCCTTCTCATCAGTGCAAAACTATCTCCAAACGCATGGAGATTTGCCTCGGAATGTCATTTCCCTCCGTCTGTCCCTTTAGAGGAGCGAAAAATTACATTGCCGATCGTGCTGGTTGTTCGATGGTTCCACTATCGTCATGATTTTGCCGACGCTGTCTTTGTTCAGGCTGCCGGTAATCCCGTCCGAATGGGAAGATATGGAAGATCAGCCTCGCATTTCAAAATCAAAGCGGGAAGCAAATCCAGCTGACTTCTTCGACCGGAACAACTCCAGCAGCGACTCCAACTGGGACAACTCCACCAGCGACTACGATTACTACGATCTCCGCGAGGATGTCGCCCCGGGAGGCCCTCCAAGAGGCGACGCGTCGCGAAGTTTCTTCTGCTCCATTCTACCGACGTTGGACCGCGTTTGTTGGATGGAGAACTTGCTGGAACTCTGGAACTTCGACGAGACCCGAATCCAGGCTTTGAGCCCCGACGAAATCTTGTCTGCCATCAACACGGTCAAAATCAGGTGAAGAGATCCGTTTCTCACTTTTTAATGCCTGACAATTATGTATCTGTTGACCGTATCAGCTCATCCTAAGGGACGCTTGTTGAAGTGAGCATCCGTCATGGAAGAATAGAGCAGACAGCTGTATCATTTCACGACTGATGCTTCCCGATAGCGCTTTCCCCCCGACGCAACTTATCGGTTCCCTCTACTGTATCAGTGAAAAAAAAGGCGGTTTCGGTGGACATCACCGAGTGTCTCCATGCGCCGTAAACGGGCTGGAGTCTCCGACGCAGCTACTCCCAATAGCATAGGGATATTGGACTAATACAGGTTATGAGATTATCGGCCAAAATTTAAACCACAAAATGTTAGAACTTTTCCATCCATAGGGAAGGGTACTCTATCAATAACGGCATCTGATGTGCTGCTATTGCAGATTTCTTTAAGTATACCAGACGAAGTTTGAATGCGTATTAAATGCTTCCAGTGAAATTTGGGGAACTTTTGTGTTCTGTCGAAAAACGACATTCCTAGTGGCGGGGAGAACTTCACCTTTCTAATGAGGTGTACAGGACAGGTCCAATATTGGTCCGACACGAGAGATGCAATCTTTGGACGCATTGTCCAGCTATTGGATCTCTCGGACACTCCCAATATTTGAATGCTCATCAGGGGTAAACATCGGAACTATATTGCAAGTCTATATCGTACCCAAATATGTCCCAATCTAGCACCAAGATAGAGTGAGTACCCGTGCCAATCTGAGGTGAATGTACCAATGAAGGACCACGATCGGGCCAACATTGGACGCTAATGGGTACGTTGCCTGGGGTCGATCTCCCCTCAAGTCTGTCAACAAATTTATCGGGGTTCCTGATGAAAGAGCACTCGATTTTTGGTGCAAACCGGCCTTGCAGAAAACAAACTGTCCAAAACTCAACAGTAACAGTCAACCGTATCTATTCTAGCAGCACCAGATCCCTATGAATAAATTTTAACTTCTCCTTTCCCGTTCTCGTCGACTAGTTCATTGTTTTTGTGTCGAAAATTTACTTCACATCTTGTAATTAACGCATGTATTTTCCTCGTGTTTCCAGCCCTGTGCTCGGCAGTGCAGTGGATTACACGCAAAGCCTGGGTGGCTTAAGTCGAAATTCATCCGGTCACGTGACGTCAGCGACGGCGGTTCACTTCACCTGGACTCTCCAGGTGAATCTATCTGGAATCAGCCCCGAGGTTCAAGAGGAAACTTCCATTTTGGACACTGCCGTGAGTTTCATGAGTTTCTCTGCTCGGAAATCAGGAGTCACGAGGATCGAAACTGCGTCGTCGGACTCAATTTGGGATGCTTGAAGGGCGCTTACTAACTGATCCAGCTTTGGAAGCATACAGGTGACCGACACAAAATTCAGCTCGTCATCTAAGAAGCTTTGGAGCATGTAGAAGGTGACCGACACGAAACCCAGCTCGTCATTTATCTCGTGGAAAGCGGCTGCAATTCGAGTAATATTGCACGAATAACGCGAAGATATCTCGAAGGTCGCCTTTTCCAAGTATGACCTTTCTACGTCTGGCTCCTGATACGCTCTAACTTGATTGAAACGAAGTCCGATTGTCACTTACCATAGAAAGGCGGCATGAATTAATTATCGCTGCTAGTTATCACGTAGCAAGCTAGCATAATGAGGTTCATTTATTTGTTACCTCGAGGTGTGGTTTCTCAATACAACTCTTGACGTACCACTGTGTTCGTTGGAAAGGCCGGCCGGACCTGGACGCGATACCATCGATGATATCGTGCAACGAGATGCCACTCGTTTTTTTAAATCTCCCTACGGTGGAAATACCGACGACTCGCAGGACATCGTGAATGACTCTCTGCACGTTTCATTCGTGACCAGGCAACGGAGGAGATAAAGGCGTGGGAGGCGGAGTTCGTTCGAGTCCTGAAGGAACTGAGCTCGTCGGGATCGGGAAGGGACTGGGAGTTCTTCATGGAAGCGGCCGGAAGTTTCAACGTGGTGGCCCAGGAAGCCATCATGAACGACGCCCTGATGCTCGGCGTCGGATATTCCATCGTCTTCCTTTACGTCGCTCTCTGCCTCGGCAAACGAGATCTCGTCGGGTTCAGGGTACGACTCCTTTCACTAGATACGTTCCGATTTTTTCCATTACAGAATCCGCTCGAAGGACCGATACCCTTCCTGCTGTTTCGATTTCCGCTTCGAGGATGTGCGAACGCGCTTCTCTCTGCGACCGTTGAGATTCCTCAGGCGTGGGCTGCTTGGTCAGTAAAAAATAAGCCGAGTGCTTCAAGGACAGTCAGCAGCCTGCAGATCTCCTCAGATTAGCAAATTGAGCTATTGTACATTCTTGGGAGCATTTCCAGAGCCAAGACAATAGCTTTCCGAATCATCCCAGTGTGCATTGCTTTTTCCTTTTTTCCAATAATTCATCTACTCAGCAGGCAAGCTTTAGAGCTGGTCTTTTCCCTAAAGATGTAACCGTCATAAGATAACGGAGTTCCTGCTCTGCAAGTTACTTAAAATATAACACGATCAGAACAAGAGATATGAATGATGATAAAGCTAATCACGAACCAGTTGCAACAACATCGCAGGAAAAATTTGAAAGTTAAAAAAAAAAAATTTGACCGAGTAAATGCTTTCTCGAAAGACGGGAGGAGAATAAAAAAGAGTAAATGAGAAGAAAAATACTAAGATCTAAGTAAGAAAGGAAACCACTGAAAAAAAAATACAAAAAAGCGAGGAATGGAAAGCTCAAATTTAAATTTGTAAAAATATATATTCATAATAAAAAATGACAACATGAAAATAGAGAATATATAGAGTATCTCAAAAAAGAAGCAAAAAGACTAGCGTAAACAGCTTTAGCTAGGAGTTTCTCGCATCTTGGGATGTTCCTAGAAAAACTGACGGATCCGGCATGAAAGGCACCTGACAGTTTGTTGCATGTCGCACCTCATGAAAGTTCTGGATTTGCTTGAGAGTACGACGATGAGTATTCCATGCCTAACGTTTATGAGACCTCTGAAACCAAAAACCCAAAACTTTTGATGAGAACTCCTTTGCCTCCTGAGAGGGTTTTTTATATTTAAATTATATGTATTTAAGGACATCTTATTTAAGGACACCTGGTCGTTTATTGAAAAAGACAGATGAAGCACTTGCTGGGTATACCATTTACTGCACAATTGGTATTGAGGGAGGAAGAAGGAAAAGGAAAGACGGGATCCAACACCGCAGGAAAAGAGAGAAAATGAGAAGAAAGCGATCCCGCAAGGCCTTGATGACTCCGCTGATCCTCTGTCTTCTCAGCTTCATCTTCCTCTTCGGAGCCCCTGAGTACTTTGCTTCGACTGATTCCTTCGTACCTCCAACGGGAAAATATCGTACGGAACAATATCTAGAGAATGTGGCCATTCGTGAGCATTCTATGAGACGACTCTGCTCTCGACTTAGAAATTGCAGAGTAGTTGTGGATGCCAATTTTGCATCTTGGCATGACCAAAGTTATTAACCCTTTCGCACTCAGCCTATGTAGTTAGCACCTGTGTTTAGGGAAGCATTTTGAGATATTTATATAACTAAACAACAAAAACAACCTTTGAGCCATTTATGTAACTAAAAGAGCATGATTTAGACGGAGCCGATGGATCGGCGCGCTGAGCGTATAAGGGTTAAAGAATTGTGTTCATCACGGACGAGAATCGAATGTTTGAAAGCTGGAAATTTTCTAGTCTTCCGGCCGGTTTTCCTGACACTATCCCCTCCAGTTTGAACTCTCCGGCATTTTTTACCTCTCCTGGTGTTTTCAGACTTTCTTTGATTCCATTCCATTGTATGTAGTTTTACTTTATCGCTGTTAGTCTCAATTCATAATGCTTAAGAATTTTCACTCTCTTTTGGACATGGGTTGACATATCTCTTCCTCTTTTTCCCAAGGAAGTGCAAAAATTTCCCGTGAAGCTTTCCGTGTGATTTCGTAAAAATTTCCTCGTAGAAAACTAGCATTTTCTGGTTCCTTCAGCTTTTCTGAAAACCTCCCAAGATGAGAAAATGAAACATTTTTCCGTTCCTTGGGGACACCTATTCAACGAGCAGACGAATGAAAGAGCTATAATAAATCGAACACGATCCAAGTGCAGATGAAGAAAATGAAGGTAACAAGTGAAAGGCGAAAGATCGATGAACCAGATTAAAATTTGAACGGCGTCGCGTTAAACGATGTGAGACGATCCATACGAATCCCACCGCAGGGCTACTTGTCGATCCTGGGGACGGGCAGCGTGGGACTGAGCATCGTGGTGTCCTACGGCGTCTGCCAGACGTTGGGCATCTTCTACGGGCCCCTTCACAACGTCCTCCCGTTTTTGCTGCTCGGGCTGGGGATCGACGACATGTTCGTCATCGTCCAGGCGTACGACACCGCCGAGAAGATCGGCGGGGAAGCGTGGAGGGAAAAATGCGTGCACGAGAGGATGGCTTCCGCGTTGAAGGACGCCGGCGTCGGCATCACTCTCACTTCTCTCACAGACTTCACTGCCTTCATCATCGGGACCTTCACGGTCGGTCTCGCTCTCATTCACTCTCACTTTCAGTCTCACTCGCTCACCCTCGTAACCTCAATATCAGTCTTTTTCGACGTTAGAAAGATTTTATTATTACAGAGGCTTTTTCACTGCATCGAGGCATGAGTGATCGTGACTTTCAGCATTCAAATATACATATGGGCATCAGAGTGTGCATGGAATTATGAATATATAAATAGGTATCATTCAACTCCAATTTGAATATGAATGCCGCTTGATGACACTAATCAAGTATGGTAGTATGTCTATAGCTAAGATACTTTATAATTAATTGATATAATTTCGTTCTTTGTAATTAATAATTTATGACGATGGCATTCCTAGAATTCCAATGCAGCTCATTTTAAAGAATATGAAGTAGGTTCCAATGCATCAAAGACAGATGGATTTTGCTGCTCAGACAAATGTGGAGAAAATTATTATAAAAACTGGATAGTAGCTATAACTATTCTTATTGAAATGGATTTTGGGCTATTGAGCCAACACCGAGTGCGAATAAGGTAAATAGGTGTCAAGCTAGAGCTTTGAATGTGAGTCGGGAATCTTGGTTTCCGGTATCATTTTAGTCTAGATTCCCTATTGTGATTTAGCAATGGTTATCCTTACGTCTGATCCTCTGGGGGGTTACGAATATTCATAGGAATGGAATGGTAAAATCTTACTCCTGTATAAAACCCAGACAATGCTCAATCGATAGTGTATTATTTCTAAAGTTTTCTTTTTTTAATTAATGTGAAAATCGAGTTTTTTTTTCTTGTCATGTTCCAATCGACTCCCTACGCTATTTTTCATTTTAATGAACTTGACATTTCCGCTAAAGGCCGTCGAGTTTCTCACGGCCGGGCATCTTTCAATTCAAATTTTGTCCTGACGAAAATTTTAACGGGTGTCACGTGTTTCCTTCATTTTTTTCAGACGCTACCAGCGCTGCGCTCGTTCTGCATTTACGCCGCCGTCGCCATTCTGTCACTGTACGTGTTCCAGGCCACGTTTTTCGTGGCCTGGTTTTCTCTCGACCAGAGACGAATCGACNACGTGTTTCCTTCATTTTTTTCAGACGCTACCAGCGCTGCGCTCGTTCTGCATTTACGCCGCCGTCGCCATTCTGTCACTGTACGTGTTCCAGGCCACGTTTTTCGTGGCCTGGTTTTCTCTCGACCAGAGACGAATCGACCGGCGTCTCGACGCCTTCATCCCCTGCTACCGACACGAGTCCGACCGTAAGCCTTCCTTCCTATGCTCGACCGTGGACGTGACGGACCTCCTCTTCCATCGCTACGCGGACTTCCTCCTCGAGACTCCCGTTAGGGTGAGTTTCGCCTGCTTTCGATCGGGGGAACGGCGAGGTCGATGATGACGGAGGGTGGGGCTCTCGGATCGGGACAGATCTCGGTCTTGGTGGTCACTTTCGTCGTGCTGGCCTTCAACGTTTGGGGTTTCGTTCTCCTGAGACAAGATTTTCGGCCCGAGTGGTTCCTTCCTCCGGATTCGTACCTCTTTAAGTACTTCAACGCCACCAAGTCTCTCCTCGAAAACAATAGGAACAAGGCGTGCGTTTGCGTACTTCCAACTTCCTGCAAACTTTTGCATTCTGTGCTGCATTGCTAACAGGTTTTATATGTTAATTGTAGATTCTTATTCCTGGGCCCGATGAACTACGGAGAAAAATTCCCGGATATCCTGAACATACTGAGTGCGCTGAGGAACGAGAGTTCCCACAGGCTGCACCTAAGCACCCGAAACCGGAAGGTTTTGACCGACCTTCGTAGAGTAGGGTAGCCGTACGGCTAGTACTAGGACCGCGCTTAGCGAGCTCGAGCCCGCAGGTGCTACATTGCACTACGTTTTTCTGCAGACCTGGAAAAGCAGAGGCTGGGGGAGGAAGAAATGATGGGGAATCTGTCGGACTTCTTCTGGAGCCCTCGGGGGGCTAAGTACCTGTACAGTCTCCATTTCTCTGGAGCCGAACCCGTCTGCGACGAGCCCCTTCCACCCATCTCCGTCCGTACCATCCGTTCTATCGCCGACCTTTCGTCGCTGAGGTGTTTTTCGTAAACGCACTCGTTTCGTGCAGGCTTCGAGTCACGAGTTGAAACACGTGAGGATGACGAGGACGAAGGAGAAGACGGAAGCCCTCCACCGCATATATCATCTCACCGACAGCTCACCGCTCGCTCAGAATGAACGTTTGTCTCCTCTTCGTGTTTGCCTCATTCTCATTATTTCTTAAGTTTTTCTCGTCGGCACGTTGCCAACGATCGCTCTTTTCCCGGCAGAGTTCGTGGGGGCGTTTTCGCGGGAGTATGGCACGTGGGAGACGAACGGGATCATACGATGGGAATTGTATCGAAACCTGGGTCTGGCCATGATCTGCGTCCTCGTCACCGTCCTTGTCCTCATCGCTGATCTCCTTGCCTCTTTTTATGTCCTCGTTTGCGTCCTTTTCACCCTAGTACGAAATTCTGTCTCTTTCTCTTCAGATGGGGATATTAAGATGCAGATTCGTCGAGCTTGTGGGAGGAGATGTTAACCGCATCGCGACCGTCTCTGTTATATTTCCCCCCGTTACTGAGGCGCATATTAATAGTTTGGTACACATTACTTCAAAAATCAAATTAGAAAGTGGCATCTTCAAAACTCAGAGCCGTATATTCGTACCAGAGCGTCCTACCTTCGAAAGTCCGACCCTCAGTCAAAACTGAAGAACGTTCATCAATTCCTCAGGTACATTTTTAGGAGCGTTTAGAGAAGCCAAAAATCGACCCTCGTTTCATAAATCTTGTGGCAAGGACATTGCCAATCCCAAGAATTGCATATCCTGTACGAAATCGTGGCAGCAAAAAAGAATAGATGCGGAACAGGGAAGGTACGTGCTCAAAAGTGACTCCAGTTTCGAGTCAGTTTTGTTTATCGACAGGATGTGTTCCACCCAAATATATTTTGCAACATATTACATATATTGATACTTGATGTACCGGGGATTAAACTTATGTACATGTTGTGTATAAGAAATACTCTACAATATGTAGATTATTTGTATGAAATAAGTTTCAAAATTTACCTATTTTTGGTGTTGCAAATCATGTCGATAAATAAAATTGACACATTCTGTAACAGGAATTAAGATGATTTCAAGTGAAGTTACCAACGCCAACTCGATCCTACTTCTTCCTCTTATCCATCTGTTCGGTTCCGGGAAAAAAAAAGTATGTTAAGTATAAAAATCCTGCTTTTAAGTTTCACTTGTACGTTAACGATGAAATCGACTGTAATTTAAAAAAAAAACATTCGCTGGTTTCTTGTAATCTTCCAAGTCGTTTTGCAAAACGGTCCTTAGCATTTGGAAAGGAAAAAAATTACATGATGACCATACTGAATAATTCAATCTTGAAAGCCCACATGAAGCCTCTGATGCAATCGGTTCGCATCGTTGGGTTAAAATTGTCCTCCATTCGTGTAAGCGTTCTTCATGTGAATATCCCGAACGGAAAGGTGGACCTGTTGGGGCTGATGTACTGGTGGGGGCTAACGATAGACACGGTGTCGTGCGTGATCGTGGTGCTTGCCATCGGCCTCAGCGTGGACTACTCCGCCCACGTCGCCCACACCTTCATGGTGTGTCGAGGAACGAAGGGTCACCGAGCCCGAGAGACCTTGCTCAGGATCGGCACGCCCGTCTTCCACGGAGGGTTCAGCACCTTCCTTGCCTTCCTCCTCCTTGCCCCCTCGCAGTCTCATGTCTTCAGGACTTTCTTCAGGGTTCGTGTCCTGCGATCTGCTCTGGCTTCCTCAAATTCAGCTGTACAGTACAAGTACTAGGTTTCCGATTTGCAATGGAGTTCAGTACCTCTACAATGCTCATTATTAGCAATTCAGGTCGGTGTGGAAAATGTCACCAGAAAGCCTTCAGGGAACACTACTTTTTTCATTACCTGAGGAGAAAAGTAATTCATTAATCCTTTGGGCCGTTGATATAGATCTTCTTCGGAGTGGTACTGTTCGGTCTGTACCAAGGCCTCGTGTTCCTTCCGGTCCTTCTCAGCTTCATCGGTCCTTCTGCCTATGAGGATGACTGCGAAGCCTTTCAGGGAACGCCTCAGATCAACGGAGGATTCGTTCCCGACCTCATCCCCATACAAGTATGTTAAAAATTCAATCTCTACATATTCCATTGATGGCACATTCAAGTCTCCTGATGGACTCATAAGACGACGTAAGAGTTCAAAGTAAACCTTCACTCGCCCTATCGTCCCAGCATCTTCAGTTTTAAGAAAAATGTTTTTGTTAGTGTGAGTGCGTTCTTCGCGAAACGAGGGTGGAAACGTTCACGAGTTCGTAATGTGGACGGCCGATGTGGTTCATTTTGATCGCAGCGCCACGAGTAGAGACTTGAGAGACGAGTCACGATTGACCTAGGCCCGATGCGATCAATCGAGACAAAATGAACGAGACCGTGCTCCTTCCCTAATTCCTTCGTGATTACTGCTGGGACACGGGAGAACGAACGCGTCCATTTAGCGATCTGCATCTTTACGTAAGAACGTTCTTGACGCATTGCATTCTTGTGAATCAGGGAAAGCAAGTAGAGGAGGGAGGTAGGGTATTCAAGATCCCCGAGGCGAAATTGAAGAGATCTCAGTCGTTGGCTGAGCCATCCTGCAAGTCTTCGAGGGCCTCGACGACGGTCCGCAAGCCTTCGCTCCGAGACCGAAAGACTCCCTGCACGTTACCAAGCATTCCTCCGCCGGACTACACGCCAGTGTTGCCGAAACGGACTTTCACCCTTCCACCGAGGTAGGGGAGACAAGGGGAACAGTAGGACGATTTAGTAAAATTTCAAATGCAGTTAGAGTTCCACTGTATCCCTCTCCCCAGGTACAGTAGCAAAAGCGATCGAGTGACCCGAGCAACACATACATGGAAATAACGTCCATGCGACGTCATTTAGCTCAAGTCACGTTGCAGCAACGTTGCATGGACATCATGTGCTGCTTGGGATGTGGAACAATCCCTGATTTTTATAAATTAAAAAGGATGTCTGTCAGTTACTGCTTCTTATCTTATCATATCTTACTGCTTACATTCAGCATGAAATGAAATATATTCTACCTTCTGGTTGCTTTAATTAGAAACCATGAGCAGAAGCATTCAATTCAAAGCTTGCTATTTTCCAACATTTCATGTTATTTTACAGTGAGCTGTACATTTTATTTATTTTTAATCAGCCGTGGGTTACAGTGGAACAGTCGAGGTATGTTCCATTCTATCTCATGACTAACTGCTCTACTGTAATCATTCCTCATCTTTCCTTCCAGACATTACTTAGTGCAATGTCAATAGAACGTCTGTCGGATTCTTCTATGCTATCTCCCGCTCTCAGACATGTCATGCGTCCAATATGAGTTTTTTTTCTGAGACAGAAGTTGCTCAATGTGATCGAAATATGATCTATGTGATGATTTTCCGTTGAAAAATGAAATGAGATAATAATTTTCCGAATAACGCCTACTTCCTTACACTCTAGTTTTTTTTTAGTGATCACTGAAAAACTTTTAACCTTTCACTGGCGTCGACGCAATATTGCATAGACATTCTTGAAACGTTCGAATATCCCTGCCAAGGAAAGGGTTCAATGGAGTCGAAAGGGACTATGACTTCTTATGTTGACCGTCGTCATTTTATTTCTCGAATGCTTTGCTTGCATGAGACTGATTTTTTTTACGTTTACCCATTCTTCAAATCATGAATTGAAGAATGGGAAACTTTTTCATAATTGAATTTGAAGTATCCTTCTATTTTATTAAGACTGACTATCTGCAGACCTCGGAATGATCTTTCTTGCACTCTGGTGTGACCGAGAATTGGAGTCTCTGTATATTGTGTGAAGTAGAGCACAGAAAGGGGGGAATAAAAAAAATGTAACAGGAAAAGAAAGACCATTTGGGAAGGGATTTCCTTTCGACTTCCCGCTTATTTCATGGAGGCGAATGCGGCTCGGTCTACCCAAGTAGCACATGACATTGAATAAACATCCGGAAGTTGAATCGATATCCAATGTTTATTCGATGTGATGTGTTACCTGGGTTGATGCCACCTTCACAGACTGTTCACAAAAGTGAAAGGGAACGAGTGAAAGGGAAAATCCTTTCCGTGAAGGCCGTCACGTCTGGTTTGGCATAATCGTCTGCCCGCACCATCATGCTGGATGATCTCGTAACATTTATACATATACAATGTCGGCCGTACCTCCTCTATACACGGGAAGTGAAGCAGTTGTTGGGATCAGTGCAACCCTAAAAGTGTAATAATGCTATAATATAAAGAAGTAATCGTTGAAGTA